TTTTTTGGTAGAGTCTCACTCTGTCACCCAGGCTGGAGAGGAGTGGTGCAATCTCGGCTCATTGCAGCCTTGGCCTCCCAGGTTTAAGTGATTCTCCTGCTTCAGCCTCCCCAGTAGCTGGGATTACAGGTGTGCACCACCATGTCTGGCTAAGTTTTGTATTTTTAGTAGTGGCCGTGTTGGTCAGGCTGGTCTCAAACTCCTGACCTCAAGTGATCCTCCCGCCTTGGCCTCCCAAAGTGCTGGGATTACAGACGTGAGCCTCTGCGCCCAGGCTAACTAATTTATTCCTCATACTAGCACTCTGAGGTAGGTACCATCAGCGTGTCCTTGAAGCCTTCGTGTGTACAAGCTCGTAGAGGTGCTGGGATTTGACTTTATGGGCTGTCCTCCTAACCATGTCCCTTCAACCATCCCCTGTAAGCTTCTCAACATTCCTATGGTGTAGGAGAAAATATTACCCATTTCACAGATGAGGAAACCAAGGCCCACACCTGTACTGACAGAGCCAGTAGACCCTTGTCTGTCTAATCAGCACATCCACATTCTTCACTCTTGATCCTGTTTAGGGAAGACGCTGGGAATCTAAAGAACCTTGGAAGGGCTCTGGCCAGGCTCCCAGAGGTCCGGGTCCCAGTCCAGCCCAAGGGTCCCAATCTCCCTCCCCTTCCTGTGCTACTCTAATTTTTCCTTTGCCTTGTTTCTTTCTTTTTTTTCTTTTTCCTTTTTTTTGAGACACACTCACTCTGTCGCCCGGGCTGGAGTGCAGTGGTGCAATCCTAGCTCACTGAAACCTCCGCCTCCTGGGTTCAATCAGTTCTCCTGCTCAGCCTCCCTAGTAGCTGAGGTTACAGGCACCTGCCACCACCATGTCTGGCTGATTTTTGTATTTTTAGTAGAGACAGGGTTTCACGATGTTGGCCAGGTGGGTCCCGAACTCCTGACCTCAAATGATCTACCCGCCACAGCCTCCCAAAGTGCTGGGATTACAGGCGTGAGCCACCACTCCTGGCCCTTGTTTCATTTCTACTGGCTGATTGGTAAGAGCTCATTTTATATGGTATGAATTGAGTCTATTTTTTCCTAGAAGGATTTGTGGGTTTTTTGGTTTTTGGGTGTTTGGTTTGGTTTGTGTTTTTTGCTATAGGCCAGTTTTACAGTTGTATACAGCTCAAAAGGTCCGCCACTTGTTTTACAGACTGAAGATTTCCAACGTCACTTGAGAAAGTCTCCTGGCTCCTGGGGTGGGAGTGGCAGGCTGTTTCCTCTCGTTCCCTCTCCTAGGCTTGTCCTTAGTGTGTGTGAGGCAGAGGTGTGATTTCTTGTCAGTTTCTACATATCCTTTTTTCTGTTGTTGTTGAGATGGAGTCTCGCTCTGTCACCCAGGCTGGAGTGCAGTGATGTGATCTTGGCTCACTGCAACCTCCGTCTCTCAGGTTCAGGTGATTCTCATGTCTCAGCCTCCTGAGTAGCTGCAACTACAGGTGCGTGCCATCACACCTGGCTAATTTTTGTACTTTGTAGTAGAAATGGGGTTTCACCATGTCGGCCAGGCTGGTCTTGAACTCCTGGCCTCAAGTAATCCACCTGCCTCGGTCTCCAAAAGTGTTGGGATTCCAGGTGTGACCCACCATGCCCAACCTGTGTGCACTCTATATATTAGAGCTTGTAATGCTGTGCTGTTTGAAACATTGCAAATATCTCCTCAAGCCTTGGTATATTGTCTTGCAAAAGGTTTTTAATGTGTTATGCAAATACTGCTATCTGGTACTTCACAGATTCTGGATTGCCAGCGGTGGTTAGGAAGATTGCCCAGTCTGAGTCTGGTGGGGGTGGGGTGTGGGGGCTCTTCCCCATCTCCTTCTCTACCTGCCCCCACCCCACCAGGGCTGCTCTCCTTATCTCCAGCTTCTCCTTTCCCAGGTCCTGCCTCCCAAGGAGAGAACCTGCCCCAGCTTCACCCCCTGCCTTCCCCTCCCAGACTTTCCTTATTTAGAATGAGGGTTGTTCCATTTCTTTCTTTTCTTTTCTTTTTTCTGGCTCTGTTGCCCAGGCTGGAGTGCAGTGAACGATCTTGGCTCACTGCAGCCTCGAACTCCTGGGCTCAAGCTATCCTCCCACCGCAGCTTTCTGAGTAGCTTCGACTATAGGCGGTGCCACCACACTGAGCCAATTTTATTTTTCAGTAGAGATGGGATCTTGCTATGTTGCCTAGACTGGTCTCAAACTCCTGGGCTCAAGCGATCTACCTGTCTAGGCCTCCCAAAGTGCTGAGATTATAGGCGTGAGCCACCAGCAAGCCCCTTGTCAATTTTTTTTTTTTTTTGAGACAGAGTCTCCCTCGGTCACCCAGGCTGGAGTGCAGTGGTGCGATCTTGGCTCACTGCAACCTCTGCCTCCCCAGTTCAAGTGGTTCTCCTGTCTCAGCATCCTGAGTAGCTAGGATTACAGAGCTTCCCACCATGCCTGGTTAATTTTTGTATTTTTAGTAGAGATGGGGTTTCACCATGTTGGTCAGGCTGGCCTCGAACTCCTGACCTCGTGCTCTATCCGCCTCAGTCTCCCAAGTACTGGAATTACAGGTGTGAGCCACTGCACCGGGCCCCCTTGTCAATTTTTAAGAGCTCTTCGCATTTCTGTCTTTTAACCTGTGCCACCCTCTGTGTTGCAAATGACTCCTCCTCAACTCCTGTCTGTTGTCCCTCTTTATAATGCTGTTTGTCACCTAACATCTTAAGGTGCTAGGTTGTATACACAGCGTCCATCTTGTCAGCTTCCGACCTAAGTTAGGCAGGTCTCCGGGCTCCAAGGGGAGGGGCGCCCTCCCCTTCCCTCGCTGATTCCAAATCTCGCAGCTTGTACCTTCCCACGGGTCGGGTGCATAAAAGCGCGCGGGGCCGCGGCGGGGCACTGCCACCATGTCCCCGCTGCGCCCGCTGCTGCTGGCCCTGGTCTTGGCAGTCATGCCCTGCGCCCAGGGCGCCTGCCCGGTGCCCGCCGACCTCAAGCACTCGGACGGGACGCGCACGTGCGCCAAACTCTATGACAAGAGCGACCCCTACTATGAGAACTGCTGCGGGGGCGCCGAGCTGTCGCTGGAGCCGGGGGCCGACCTGCCCTACCTGCCTTCCAACTGGGCCAACACCGCCTCCTCGCTTGTGGTGGCCCCGCGCTGCGAGCTCACCGTGTGGTCCCTGAAAGGCAAGGCGGGCAAGACGCGCAAGTTCTCCACCGGCACCTACCCGCGCCTGGAGGAGTACCGCCGGGGCATCTTCGGAGACTGGTCCAACGCTATCTCCGCGCTCTACTGCAGGTGCCCAGCCGCCCACCCCAGGCCCCGGCCCCAGCTCCGCACAACCCCCCCACACCCACCACCCAAGCCCCGAGGCTGCTCGGCACCCCTGAACTCCCGACTGGAACTGGGAACACCAGGAGGCCTCAGTACAACCCGTCCTGAGGCCGCGTCTCAGAGTCCATACCCAAACCAGGTCCTCCTTCTCCTCACCCCCAGCACCTGGTCCGCACTCCACCTGCAGTCCAGGCCCCTGGGACCTCTCCACCCCAGCTCTGGGATTCAGAGCCAACCCTCCACCCCTTCTGGAATCTTCCACCTACCCACCTGCCCACTGCTGTACTTCCCAGGGAGGGCTGGCTAATTCTGGGGACTGAGAGTTCCTAGACCCCTCACCTTGGAGTCCCCAGAACCGAAGCCAGTCCCCAGCCCTCAGTCATTACATCTGTAAGCTCCCAGACCCAACTCTAGGGACTCCCAGACTCTAAAGCTAACCCAGACCTCAAGACCCCAGACTGAATTACGGGAACACCCAGTGAGCCTTCATGTTCCCCACTCCCCTAGACCCTCTAGACCAGCCTCAGCCCCTAAAACCAGTCCCACAGCCCAACTCCAGACCCAACCCTGGAGGCCCCAGAGCCCACCTTGGGCTCACAGACTGGGGACCTAGATCCAGTGGTCACACCTCAAGCCCTCCCCAGCCACTCCTGTCCCCCAGTAACTCCAAGAGCCCCCAGCTCCAAACTCCCAGTCTAGGATCTCTGGTTCCTAAACTTGGAACCTCAGACCCAGACACCCAAGCTCCCACCTGGCCTCAGGCTTCTAGAACCCCCAGACCCTGGGTCTCTGAGAGCCCTGGAAGTAATTCTTGATTACATTTCAGGTGCAGCTGATGCTCTGCTGGTCTCTGAACTGCACAGAGCACTAAGCCCCTCACTCGGCCTGTCCCTGGGCTCTGCTCCTGGGCCCCAAGACCCAGAAGAAGGAGCGTTTTGCCTGCCCTCTCCCACCTCCCCTGCAATACAGCCTTTTCCTACAGTTGCTTCATACAGTCTGTCATCTGCTTGTCCCTGGGACCCAAGTCCTCACCGGACTGCGTGGGATGGAGGCGAGAGCAGGGTGGTGGGGCCTGGGTCAGCCTGTAACCAGGACAATGCCTTGGATGAGGACACGCCATAGATTGGGACATGGTTTTAGGTGTGTTCAAAGACACGCCCCCACAGAAGGACATATGAGTGAATCACAGGGGGACCTGGGCTGATGGTAATGTGAAATGTGCCCCACCCTTTTCGGTAAATAGCCCTTCCTTAGCCAGGCGAGGTGACTCAGGCCTACAGTCCTAGCATTTTGGGAGGCTGAAGTAGGTGGATAACTTGAGGTCAGGAGTTTGAGACCAGCCTGGCCAACATGGTGAAACCCCATCTCTACTAAAAATACAAACATTAGCTGGAAATCGCTTGAACCTGGGAGGCAAAGGTTGCAGTGAGCCGAGATCGCACCACTGCACTCCAGCCTGGGCAACAGAGCGAGATTCTGTCTCCAAAAAAAAAAAAAAAAAAAAAAAATAGCCCTTTCTTGAGCTATTTCTGGCCTCCCAGAGGCCTCTGGACTCCCTCCCTGGTTCCTGCAGGGGACAGCAGGGGGCCTTCTAGGACCCCGCCCGGGGTTAGGACTAGGATCCGAAAGTGATCAGATTGGGGCCTTGAACTTAGAGGTTGTTAAATACTTTTAATCCCCACATCCCATATTTCTGTTCTGGTCGCAGTCTGTGTCCCCACCTCTCCCATGAATGAAGGACTTTGATGGATGCCTGGGTTTGGAGGCTCTGCGGTAGCTGGAGAGGATACACAAAGGGTCCTCGGAGGAGATGGTGGGAGGAGAGCTCTGAGGGGATGACAACTGCAGACAGCAGGAGGGAGCTAGGGCAGATTCTGAGACTTAAGAGATATAAAGGCCAGGCCATGTGGCTCACGCCTGCAATCCCAGCACTTTGGGAAGCCAAGGCGGGTGGATGACCTGAGGTCAGGAGTTCAAGACCAGACTGGCCAACATAGTGAAACCCCATCTCTACTAAAAATACAAAAATTAGCCAGACGTGGTGATATGCACCTGTAATCCCAGCTCCTTGAGAGGCTGAGGCAGGAGAATCACTTGAACCTGGGAGGCAGAGGTTGCAGTGAGCTGAGATCGTGTTACTGCATTCCAGCCTGGGTGACAGAGCGAGACTCCATCTCAAAAAAAAAAAGAGAGATAGAGAATAGGTAAGTGGAGATGCTAAAGGGAGATGTGTGAAGAGATCAGAGGTCAAGGTCAGAAGGTCCCCGGGTTGTGAAGGTAATGGAAGATCAGGATCGGGGCGGATAAATGGGGCAGGAACTGAGTGAAGCGAATGGTTCCATTCCCCCTTCAACACACATTCGCTGCCACCCACTCTTGTGCACAGTCCTTGGCTGGGTGGTGCTGGGGACACAGCAGTGAGCAATTCATTTCAGTGGAGTTCAAAGCACTCAGCATCCTTGGGCACAGGTGTCTATGCATTCACTCAACAGAGATCTACGGAGCACCTGCCAGAGCATCTGTCAGGCACTGAATTTGCAAGGTGTGGCTCTGCCCTCATGGGGCTCAGCGAGTGCTGGGAAAGGCCAGAGTCCACTGTTCAGGAGTGTGTGAAGCTGTCAATCAAGAGAGAAGCGAGGGGGCCAGGCAGGAATAAAGGGACTAGGAGGTGGCTAAGGGTTAGGGGTTTCTAAAGGTCAGGGAGGGGTGCCATGGGGTCAGAACAGACTCGGAGTCAGCCAGTCACTCCCGGAGCTGCACAGACACGGAGGAGTCGGTCACCCGTGTCCGCCGCAGCCCACCAGGCTCCCTGCGGTTCTTGGCCTTGTGCAGGAAGTGGATGAAGCGCACGCCGGAACCATAATGACGGAATACGTGGGACACCTGTGGTGACAGCACCCAGAGTTAGGGAGGAGCGCTTTCTGAGGACCCGAGGACCTGCTCTCCTCCCTCTGTGAGGTCTTGGGAGAACACATGTCTGGGGTGGAGGCCCGGGGCTGGGAGTCTCACCTGGACCCAGCGGCCAGGGGGGCCTCTCCCAGAAGTCCGGGGGGCCACGTGGTGCTGAGCAATGACCGTGCGGCGGTCGGCCGCCAGCAGCCAGACGTGCAGCTCATAGACGCAAGCGTCCAGCCGGCTGTCCTCAAACCTGCAGGCGGGGTCCAGGCCTTCAGCTGCCCAGTCCCGGTCCCCATTCAGCACACATGCTGCCACTCACTCTGTGCACAGCCCTGAGCTGGGGGGTGCTGGCAACATAGCAGTGACCAAGACAGTCCCACATCCATCCACACAGGATTCATAGTCTAGTGAAGGAGGCAGGCATGCCACCAAACATGCCAGCCAGGAATGGCCATGACCGGGGTGTGCAGTGGGCAGAGGGGTCAGGGCCAAGATGGGGGGACCCAGGCAGAGGGGTCAGGGCCATGATGGGGGGACCCAGGCAAAGGGGTCAGGGCCAGGATGGGGGGAACCGAGGCAGAGGGGTCATGGCCTGAACTGGGGACCTAGGCAGTGGGTTTGGGGCTGGAATTAGGGACCCAGGCAGAGGGGACAGGGCCAGAATTGGGGACCCAGGCAGAGGAGTTGGGGCTGGAATTCGGGACCTAGGAAGAGGATTTGGGGCTGGAATTGGAGACCCAGGCACAGGGGTTGGAGCCAGAATTGGGGGCATAGACAGATTGGGGGGCAGAAGACACTGGAGCAAATGCACCTGACCCAGCTGAGGGGCTTTCAGAGAAGGCTTCCTGGTGGAGCAATGTGTAAGTGGCTGCTAAAGAATAAGAAGGAATTTGTCTTGAGAATAGAGGGCAACAGGCTCTTAAGAAATAAGGAATAGGCCAAGCAGTGTGGCTCATGCCGGTAATCCCAGCACTTTGGGAGGCTGAGGTAGGCAGATCACTTGAGGTCAGGAGTTCGAGACCAGCCTGGTCAACATGGAGAAACCCCATTTCTACTAAAAATACAGAAATTAGGCGGGCGTGGTGGTGTGCACCCAGTTACTTAGGGAGGCTGAGGTAGGAGAATGCCTGAACCTGGAAGGTGGAGGTTGCAGTGAACTGAGATCGCACTACTGCACTCCAGCGTGGGTGACAGAGTGAGACTGTCTCAAAAAAAAGAAAGAAAGAAAGAAAAAGAAATAAGGATCAGCTTCAGTCACTCCCTGGCACATTTCAAAATCTGAAAGACTCAAGGAAACTAGGCAGGGCAGGAGCCTGCGGCACCAGGAAGGCCTTGATGGGGGCTGAGAGCACGGGGAACTGGGGTAAAGCTCGTGCTCTGGGCAGCCCTGCGTGATCAGGGGTGAGGCTGCAGGGCAGGGGCACGCACCAGTCCATGACGGTAATGTCTGGCTGCTCGTCATCCAGCAGCTCCTCCCACAGGCCCTCGGCCAGGAGGTCCACGCACTGCTGCTTCACCGTCCAGCTGTGAACGAGGGGCCGGGAGAGGCGGGGTCTGCGATCTGCCGGGGTCCCGGGGATCTCCAGGAAGCAGGAAGCCCTGTCTCAGCACTTTCTTAGAGCTTGAGTCCCTACATGTGGGGTGCTCCCTCAGCACCTTTCAGTCTCAGTCCCCATGGGCCCCTCTGAGGACAATGCATCCGGAAGCCCATGCCACGGACGTGGAAGCTGAGGCTGAGGATGATCAAGCAGCAAACGTGGCAGAGCCAGGATCCCAGCCTTGGCCTGTCCGAGCCACCGAGTCACACCAGCTCATCTACTACTCAGGAGCAAGGCATGTTTCCTGGAAGATGGGGTGGCCTGGGTGATCCCCCCTCCCAGGGAAAGAGCCTTAGAATAATTACAACAGTAACAGTAATAGCCAGGTGCGGTGGTTCACGCCTGTCATCCCAGCACTTTGGGACACCATAGGCGGGCAGATCACTTGAGGTCAGGAGTTTGAGACCAGCCTGGCCAACATGGTGAAACCTCGTCTCTACAAAGAATACAAAACTGAGCTGGGCATGGTGGCTTGCAGCCGTAACCCCAGCTCCTCAGGAGGCTGAGGCAGGAGAATTGCTTGAACCTGGGAGTCAGAGTTTGCAGTGAGCCGAGATGGCTCCCCTGTACTCCAGCCTGAGCGACCGAGGGAGACTTCATCTCAAAGCCAAAAACCAAAAACCAGTAACAGCTGCTACGGACTGGTGCTAGCCAGATCTGGCCGGGCCCTATGCTGTGTGTTTTGCAGACATCCTCTCTTGTGCTAACGCTGTTTACAGAGCAGGAAATAGAGGCCCAGAGAGGCCAAGTCTGTTTCTCCAGGTCTCACAGCGAGGAAGGGCAAAGCAGGAAATGGAGCACAGGCCGCAGCGGTCCTGACGACTCACCTTAGGTTCTGCTGGAGCTTCTCGGTTCTAATGAACCAGCCGCGGAAATTGCCTGCAGGTTGGGAAGCAAAGGGTTAGAACCCTGGAGGATCCTCCTCACCCTCAGCAACCGGCCTCCAAACACTTACCCAGAGTCTCCAGGGGTCGCTGGGTGGGCCCAGTAGGGGGCGCTGGCTCATAAATGTTGATGCCTGAAACGCGAAAGTGAGTGGAGCCTCCAGCCAGCCCCTCCGCCCTCCACAGCCCCCTCCCCCCCACCCGCAGGGCTACACTGGAAGGGCAGGAATCTGTGCCAGGTCAGGGCAGCCGGGCAGGGATAAGTGAGTCAGAGCTCTGGGGAGAGGGTGATGCCAGGGGAGTAAGGGGGGTGTGGTGAGACAGAGACAGAGGGACAAAGAGAAGAACCCAGAGAAAGAGGCCAAGAGTTTGAGACCAGCCTCGCCAACATGGTGAAACCCTGACGCTACCAAAAATACAAAAATTAGCCGGTCGTGGTGGTGCATGCCCATAGTCCCAGCTACTCAGGAGGCTGAGGCAAGAGAATCGCTTGAAGCTGGAAGTTGAAGGCTGCAGTGAGCCGAGATGGCACCACTGACTCCAGCCTGGGCAACAGCAAGACTCCATCTCAAAAAAAAAAAAAAAAAGCGAGAGAGAGAAACATAGGCAGAGGGGAGTGAAAGAAGGAGACAGAAAGCGGGAGGGTGAGGTGTGAGACAAAGAGGTAAGCGAGAGACAAGACAGAGATGGGGTAAAACGGAGAGGCACAATGACAGAAAAGGCGACAGAGGGATGCAGAGAAATGCAGAGACAGAGAGAGACAAAGAGAGAAAGAGAGATATGAAAACAGGAAAAGAAGAAGAGACAAAACGGTCAAGGTGGTGCTTCCCGGCTGCTCCGGGCCGTCCGCACCTTCGGGGTTGGGTGATCGCAGCAGGTTGCGGTAGAGCGGCCTCCGCAGCAGGAGCAGCTTCCAGGTGAGGCGCGGCGGCAGCTCCAGGGTCCCGCTCAGCGGCCCCCACTCCTCCAGCAGCAGCTGCCGCGCGTGGGCCTCGGACGGCTGCTCCGGTTCGGGGAGCTCGGGGATCTCGGGGATCTCGGGGGTCTCCGGGGCCGCGGGCGATGGCGGCGACGGCGGCGGTGACGGCGACCGTGGCGAGGGAGGCAGCTCCTGGGGGTTCGCGGGCCCGTCGGCCTCCATCCCGCCACCGAGCGCGCGTTCCTCGCGCACCTCCTCCATCCCTCGAGGCTGCGCGACTGTCCCGGTTTCGCTGGGCTGGGGTTAACTGGGAGCGGGAAGGGGTAGGGCACTCCGGCTGGCATAAGGGAGGGGCGTGTCTGGGGAGGATCTTGTCCCTCAGACCCTCCTCCCTCTGACCCAAGAGTCCAGACCCCCAGCCCCTCCTCCCTCAGACCCAGGAGTCCAGGCCCCCAGCCCCTCCACCCTCAGGCCCAGGAGTCCAGGCCCCCAGCCCCACTACCCTCAGGCCCAGGAGTCCAGGGTCCCAGCCCCTCCTCCCTCAGACCCAAAGAGTTCAGGCCCTAGCCCCTCCTCCCTCAGACCCAAGAGTCCAGGTCTCCAGCTCCTCCTCCCTCAGACCCAGGATTCCAGGTCTCCAGCCCCTCCTCCCTCAGACCCAGGATTCTAGGTCTCCAGCCCCTCCTCCCTCAGACCCAGGAGTCCAGGCCCCAGCCCCCTGCTTAAGTCCCCAGACTTCCTGCCCCAATTTTCCCCAGGGTTAGCTGAGGACCCAGCGTGGGTCTGGCAGAGCATGTGACAAATGTCCTTACCTGGGATACCCCCTTGGGGCCCTGGCATGTTCTGTCCAGAAAACCAAGGTGAGAAGAGCAGAGAGACATCCAAAACCAGAGATGAGGAGCCTCAGAGATGGGGTACCCAGGGAGGCACAAAGATGGCAGTGAGAGGGAAGCAGTGACCCCAACTGGGTGTTCTGGGGACCTGTACATCTGCTTGGGACTAGGGTGGGGGGCTGCAGAAGCCTCCTCCATCAGAGGTCATGGGAGGTGGGAGTGAGGGCTAGTGTGCACGAGGGGACAGGATGTCAGGTGTGGAGGAAGTGGGATGGCAGAGGAACCTGTAGGGCCAGATGCCCACAGCCACTTCCTGTCCTCGGCCACATCCCTCTACCTGGCCCAGGTGAGCTCAGGTGCTGAGCTGATGATCAGCAGCATTCACCACAGTGAGGGTTGCTTGCTTGCTTTCTCTTTCTCTCTCTCTTCTTCTTCTCCTTCCTCCCTTCCCTCACTTCCTTCCTTCCTTCCTTCCTTCCTTCCTTCCTTCCTTCCTTCCTTCCTTTCTCTCTCTCTCTCTCTCTCTCTCTCTCTCTCTTTCTCTCTTTCTCTCTTTCTCTCTTTCTTTCTGAGTCTCACTCTGTCACCCAGGCTGGAGTGCAGTGGCTCGATCTTAGCTTACCACAACCTCTGCCTCCCCAGGTTCAAGCGATTCTCCTGCCTTAGCCTCCCGAGTAGCTGGAATTACAGGCATGTGCCACCACGCCCAGCTAATTTTGTATTTTTAGTAGAAACAGGTTTCACCCTGTTGGTCAGGCTTGTCCCAAACTCCTGACCTCAGCTGATCCACCCACCTGGGCCTCCCAAAGTGCTGGGATAACAGGCGTGAGCCACCACACCTGGCCCATGGTGAGCGCTTTCTGTTAAGCGCTTCTAAGTTCATTTCATTCTCCTACAAAGACAAAGTGGGTGCTACTATGATTGGCATTTTATAAGTAAAAGAAAAGTAGGCCGGGCGCGGTGGCTCAAGCCTGTAATCCCAGCACTTTGGGAGGCCGAGGCAGGTGGATCACGAGGTCAACAGATCGAGACCATCCTGGTCAACATGATGAAACCCCATCTCTACTAAAAATACAGAAAATTAGCTGGGCATGGTGGCACGTGCCTGTAATCCCAGTTACTCAGGAGGCTGAGGCAGGAGAATTGCTTGAACCCAGGAGACGGAGGTTGCGGTGAGCCGAGATTGCACCATTGTACTCCAGCCTGGGTAACAAGAGTGAAACTCCGTCTCAAAAAAAGAAAAGAAAAGTAAGGCCAGGCTCAGTGGCTCACTACCTTCAGATCAGGAAACTGAGGCAAGAGAGGTGAAGTGACTGCCCTGCAAAGTGGGGCATTAAACTGTGCCTGGGGGAAACCACTCCAGCCTGGGCGACAGAGTGAGACTCCACCTCAAAAAAAAGAAAAAGAAAAAGAAAAGTAACAGCAGCCAGGCGCGGTGGCTCAAGCCTGTAATCCCAGCACTTTGGGAGGTTGAGGTGGGTGGATTACAAGGTAAAGAGATCGAGACCATCCTGGTCAACATGGCGAAACCCCGTCTCTACTAAAAATACAAAAAATTAGCTGGGCATGGTGGTGCGTGTCTGTAGTCCCAGCTACTCAGGAGGCTGAGGCAGGAGAATTGCCTGAACCCAGGAGGCGGAGGTTTCGGTGAGCAGAGATCGCACCATTGCACTCCAGCCTGGATAACAAGAGCGAAACTCCGTCTCAAAAAAAAAAAAAAGGAAAAGAAAAGTAACAGCAAACGTGTGTGTAGCTGTGTGCTGGCGGCGGATGCCCTCTGGGATGGGTCTTACCACTACAACAACCCTGTGACAAGTGCTATTATTATTCCCATTTTACAGATGAGGAAACAGAGGCCACCTTCCCAGACCGGGTCCCACACAGTCCCAGATCACGCCACATGCTTCCACAGGCACTTCCTGCCCCACGAGCTCAGACACTCACAGACACTCAGGGTGGGGGACAGAAGTCACACCCTAGTGATGAGGATCATGTAATTGAGGCTGCCTGTGTGCCAGGCATTGCAGTAAGTCCATTAGGTGCAAGGGACTTAGGTAATTAACTAGGTAATTAATTCAGTCTCCATATCCACCCTAGGAAGTAGAAATGACTAGGAAGTGGCATAAGTAGGAAGTCACACCCATTTTGCAGATGAAGAAACTAGGCACAGAGAAGTCTAGTAATTCACCCAAGGCTGCACAGCTGGTACACAACAAGTTAGAGACACTCCAAAACAGAATCTTAGAGAACATACACAGGGACACAGATTCAAATTGCCCCCAGGGGCTGGGGTCCGTTGTTCAAACCTGTAATCTAACACTTTGGGAGGCTGAGGCTGGAGGATCACCTGAGCCCACGAGTTTGAGACCATCCTGGATGACATGGTGAGACCCCATCTCTACAGAAAAACGAATAAATTATTTGAGTGTGGTGGAACACACCTGTGGTCCCAGCTACTCAGGAGGCTGAGGTGGGAGGATTGGTTGAGCCCAGGAGGTCAACGTTGCAATGAGCTGAGTTCCCATTGCCGCATCCTAGCCTGGGTGACAGAGTGAGACCCTGTCTCAAAGAAACACAAAACAAAAACAGGCTGGGCACAGTGGCTCACACCTGTTATCCCAGCACTTTGGGAGGCTGAGACGGGCAGATCACTTGAGGTCAGGAGTTCAAGATCAGCCTGGCCAACACAGTGAAATCCCTATCTCTTCTAAAAGAAAATAAAATTAAAAAAAAAAAATAGCTGGGCATGGTGGTGCATGCCTACAGTCCTAGCCACTCAGGAGGCTGAGGCAGGAGAATCACTTGAACCTGGGAGGTGGGGGTTGCAGTGAGCCGAGACGGCACTCCAGCCTGGGCGACAGAGCGAGACTCTGCATCAAAACAACAACAACAACAAAAAAACCAAAAAAACAATTCACCCCTGGGGAAAAAAAAACACAGGTCCACACAGAAGCAAGCAGGAGATGATGGTTACATTTATTGAGTCCTGGACTCTTTGAACTTCAAAAGCCAGCAGAGGTGGAAACTGGTAATTGTATCTCTACTGACAGAGGAGGGAACTGAGGCAAGAGAGGTGAAGTGCCTGCCCTGGAAAGTTGAGAATTAACCCTTGCCTGGGGGGTGGAGAAAAACCAGGGGTCGGGGGAGCAGATCAACAAACACTGCAACTGGAAGTCCCCAGCAGATTACCAGGCAAACACTGGCAGAGCCGCTCCCCTGCCACCACACACACACAAACCCGCACCCTCGTCCTGGCTGCCCGCCCGCCCTGCTTCAGACCATCATCACGATGGTGGAGGAGGAGGAGTGTCTGGTGAGTGGAGTCAGAGCTGTGCCAGGTCAGAATCCAGGGCAGGGAGTGGCTAGGAGCCAGAAGAGACCTGGACGGAAGAGCAGCCAGGCAGCCAGGAATGTGTAGAGCGGCGGCGGAGTGCCATGGTTTGGTCCTGTCATCCCAGCACTTTGGGAGGCGGAGGTGGGCAGATCACTTGAGCCTAGGAGTAGGATACCAGCCTGGGCGACTTGGCAAGACCCCGTTAGCCAGGCATAGTGGCACATACCTGTAGTCCCAGCTACTTGGGAGGCTGAGGCAGGAGGATTGTTTGAGCCTGGGAGGTGGAGGTTGCAGTGAGCTGAGATGGCGCCACTACCTCCTCACAGCCTGGGCAATGGAGGAAGACCCTGTCTCAAAAAATAATAATAATAGGCAGAGCTTGGTGGTTCGCGCCTGTAATCTCAGAACTTCGGGAGGCTGAGGTGGGCAGATCACTTGAAGTTATGAGTTCGAGACCAGCCTCAACAACACGGTGAAACTCCATCTCTACTAAAAATACAAAAAATTAACCGGGCGTGGTGGTGCATGCCTGTAATCCCAGCTACTGAGGAGAATCACTTGAACTGGGGAGGCGGCGGTTGCAGTTAGCCAAGATGGCACCACTGCACTCCAGCCCGGGCAACAGAGCGGGACTCTCTATCTCAAAAAAAAAAGCCAGGCACAGTGGCTCACACCTGTAATCCCAGCACTTTGGGAGGCCAAGGCAGGTGGATCACGAGGTCAGGAGTTCGAAACCAGCCTGGACAACACAGTGAAAACCCATCTCTACTAAAAATACAAAAAATTATTAGCCAGGCATGGTGGCGGGCACCTGTAGTTCTACTCGGGAGGCTGAGGCAGGAGAATCAATCGCTCGAACCCGGAAGGTGGAGGTTTCGGTGAGCTGAGATTGTGCCATTGCACTCCAGCCTGGGAGACAAGACTGAAACTCCATTTCAAAAAAGAAAATTGAAAACATAGATTAATAAATAAAGAAAACTAGAGTCTGCCGAGTAGAGACTGATACCCCTCCCACCTGCCCCAACCTGGCTGTGTTTTCATATCAACCTCTGTGGCTGTCACACCCACAGGCATGACAGCCACAGGGGTTGGACCGAAGCCTGAACCCAGTCCCTCCCCCAC